ACACCTCCAGTAAGTTGCAGAACCGGGCTTAAACCCAGGCTTCTCTAACTCAACCACTACTAAAGACTAGCTCAACCACTACAGTTCCTGTTTAATAGCTGGTTTTTGAGGCTTCTTGCTCATGGTTATTACAAATCCTGTACAACTCATCCTAAAGTCTAGTTTCATAAAATAGCAAATCATGAAGTTTATGACTTTCAGTTCTTTTCCATTTACTTCTAGAAACTATATGTATGTCCATGTTGCAGTGCCTGGCCCACTTACAAGAAAGTGTGTGTGTCCTTCAGTCTAAAACAGTCTATAATTCAAAATTATATTTACATACTAATAAGAGAAAGGAACTGTTAAGTCAGTTATCTTCATTTTCTCCCCCCCTTATAGGGTAAAAAGTACCAATGGGATGCAGAAACTCAAGGATGGATTCTTGGCTCTTTTTTTTATGGCTACATCATCACACAGATTCCTGGAGGGTATATTGCCAGCAAAGTTGGCGGTAAACTGCTGCTAGGATTTGGGATCCTTGGTACTGCTGTCTTCACCCTGTTTACCCCGCTTGCTGCAGATTTAGGAGTTGGATATCTCATTGCTGTCAGAACTCTGGAAGGATTAGGAGAGGTAATTATTATTTTGTTACTCTTTTGTTTTACTCGTACATCTCTCTCTTCTTAAAGATCTTTGGTGTGAATGTGAACCAAAAATTAACATTAGAAGGTAACAGGGATTTATATTTTAATTAGAGAAGGAGTTGACTAGAAAATAACCTGGGTAGATTTCATTTATGGTCAGTAAGGTCTCAAGTACAGGCACCCCAAAATTCGAAGCTTTAAAGACTAGAGAAAACATTTTCCAGTAGAGAGTTAATAGGTTGTGTTGTTGTTATGTGCCGTCAAGTCAGACCCGACTCATAGCGACCCCTCCTTGGGTTTCTGAGGCAGTATCACTAGGGAAGTAGATTGCCCCATCTTCCTTCTGAGGAATGGCTGGTGAGTTTGAACCGCCAGCCTCCTGGTTAGCAGTTAGGTACTTTAGGCACTATGCTACCAGAGCTCCTAATAGGTCATAGTTTAAGGGAAATTAAAGTACTATTAAAACCATTAAGATAGGGGCATCTTTACCTCTTGTACTTTTGCCACAGTTTATCTGTGCTCTATTGTTGATTACTAAACTCCAACTCACTGCCATCAAATCGGATCTGACTCATAGAAACCCCTCCTTGGGTTTCCAAGGCGGTATCACTACGGAGGTAGATTGCCCAACCTTCCTTCCGAGGAGGGTCTGGTGGGTTTGAACCACCAGCCTTCTGGTTAGGAGTCAAATGCCTTAGTCACTACGCCACTAGAGCTCCCCTATTGTTGATTGCCTAGATCTAAAAAACATTTTACACAATAGACTGTCAAATTGGCCTGTTTTAAATTTTTTGTTATTCATGGAACTTCTTTTTAGTTATTGTTTTGGTTACCTAGTGCCTCTCTAACAGAAGCTACCACAAATGAGATGGCTTTTACAAACAAGAGTTTATTCTCTTACAGTTTTGGAAGCTAGAAGTCCGAGTTCAAAGTGCCAAGCTCTAGGGGCTGGGTGAAAACCCCTCTATCTTAGGCTTCAGCTCTGTCTCCTGCTCCTAGCCCACTCAAGCTGAAAGGTTTTTTTTCACTCAGGCAGCTGCTGGCTGCGGAGGCTGACAAACCCAAGGTCAACAAGTAAAAAGGCACAGTCCCAATATTGCCAAACAACATGGCAGGCCACTAATTAAAGTCCAGAAAAAGTCTGAAGGTCAGCAGGGCATGGCCGGCTGCTGAACAATAATTTAGCTACGTGTAGGGTTCAAGCGTGCCAAAAAGCTAGAGACCTTCGTCAAAGTTGCTTCTTACTTACTGGAAGCAGACCACATCCCTAAGGCAGCTACTCAGCTGCTCCAGTGCACCACAGAGCTGATTACCAATTTCACCATGGAGACTAACTACATCTAGCTGCCCAGCCACTCAAACCAGGCCCAGCTAGGTTGACACATAACTTTAACTACCACAGTTATCATTTGTTCTTCCCCCTGCTTAAAAACAAATAATTTATTATGTCATATAACTAATTTTACCAATAAGTTTTTACCAACTATCTTTACCACGATAAATGGAGAAAAGATTGAAGTTATCAGGGATTTCATTTTACTTAGATCCACAATCAACACCCTTGAAAGCAGCAGTTAAGAAATCAAATGATATATTGCACTGGGCAGATCTGCTATAAAAGACCTCTTTAAAGTGTTAGGAGCAAAGATGTCACTTGGAAGACAAAAGTGCACCTGACTCAAGCCATGGTATTTTCAGTGTCCTCGTATGAATGTGCTCTGGTAGCATAGTGGCTAAAGCACTTGACTGCTAACCAGAAGGTTGGTGGTTCAAATCCACCAGCCACTCCTCGGAAGGAAGGTTGGGCAATCCTAATTCCGTAGTGATACTGCCTCGGAAACCCAAGGAGAGGTCGCTATGAGTCAGGGCCGATTCGACGGCACATAACAACAACAGCAACATATGAATGTGAAAGCTGGACTATAAATAAAGAAGACTGAAAGAGTTGATGACTTCAAATTGTGGTATTGGCAAAGAATACTGAAAATACCATGGACTTCCAGAAAATGAGCAAATCTTGTCCTGGGAGAGGTACAGCTGGAATGCTCCTTGGAAGAGAGAATGACCAGACTTCATCTCACCTATTTTGGTCATCTTGTCAGAAAAGACCATTCCCTGGAGAAGGATATCATGCTGGGTAATGTAGAGGGTCAGTGTAAAAGGGGAGGATCTTCAAAAAGGTAGATTGGCACAGTGGCTCCAACGACGGACTCATGCATAGCAAGGATTATGAGGATGGCACAGGACCAGGCAGTGTTTCCTCCTGTTGTACAGCTCTGGGAGTTGGAGCTGACTTGACGGCACCTAACGACATCTTTCTTTATTTCTCTGGTTCATCTAGCCTTTCTGTTTCTTTTAGAATTGTTACTAAATTTTATCTATCTTTTCCCTCCACTGAAGATGGAATGTTATGGCACAATAGTTAAAGCACTCAGCTGCTAACCAAAAGGTCGTCAATTTGAACCCACCAACTTCTCTATGGGAGAAAACTGTAGCAATCTGTTTCTGTAAAGATTTACAGCTTTGAAAACCCTATAGGGCAGTTGTGCTCTGTCGTATAAGGTCGCTATGAGTCAGAATCAACTCAACAGCAATGAGTTTGATTTTTTTTTTTGTTTCCCTCCTCCTGAGATTTTTATTATTTTTTCAATTTTAGTTCCTTATCTTTTTTTTCTTTCTACTTCTCTTTTACATTTTATAGTTCATCATATGCACTTCCATCTTTATACAATGATCTCTTTTCCTTTCTAACTGTGAACTTCTACCTGTGATACCTAGGTACTGGTTTATTTTGCTCTCTCTTGCATTTGTTTAACCCAAACGAGATGGTGGCTTCTGGGTCTGGCTGGTCTACAGCGCTGCAGTGCAGCAGTGAATTGCTTAATGTGGCCCTTCTAGCCATAGTCCTCCATTTTGTGACATATAGTAAATCCTAGCCTCTAGGCCAGTTTAGGGTATATGTCTTGAGTCCTGCCTTGTTGGAGAGTATGCCTCAAGTCACTACTCTCAGTTTCCTGGGCAGTATATATGTGAATGTTCTGGCAAAGTTCACCCTCTTGCCCTGTATCCTACATCTGGTCCATCATCATCTAATCCTTGGTTCTTAAGACTTGAAACAGCAGCCAGTTTTCTGACCTGCCTAGTTGAGTCCAATTTGGGCCCATCAGCCGCTACAACTACGTGAGTGAGGAGAATACTTCAGACCTATGTCTAACCCATGGGTTTGGGACTTGCCTCCATGACTACTTAAGCCATTTCCTTGGCAGTTTGTGAGTTCTGTGAGAAGTCACGGTGAAATACAGAACTGTAAGAAAGAAGGGAGGATACTGAGGGGAGGAGGAGGAGTTGGTGTTGGAGATGATGGAGTGGTACTGCAGTTTGGAACAGATGGACATTTGGGACATCTTTAATCTCTACCTAATAGGGACCAGCCTTGTGCTAATCCTTGTAAAAGAAATGATTCGAGCAAGCATTAAGATCATTTTAGGTATTGTTGTATCATACTATGTTAAAAAGAACAATGGACTAGAGTCAGAAAACCAGAGTTTGCTTAATAGCTCTATTGTGTGTAACAGTGAAACCACAGGTAAATTCTAACCTCTAGGCATCAGTTCTGTCTTCAAAGTAGAGTTAATAATACCACTCCATCCTCAGTCACAGGATAGTCCTTAGGCTCAGGTATGATCATTTTTGCTAAAGTACTTTGAAAATTGTCCCATACTATTTAAAGTATTACCATTCATCTGAATGTTCCCATTTTGACCTTATCAAATAAAGGTCTATTAAATTAACTCTTCCTAATTAAAATATAAAAATTTATTTTCTCTTTTAAGAACCAACTTCTCTATGGGAGAAAACTTTTAAGGTTCTTCTTCTCTTTACCGAAATAAAATACACTAATTAAAATATAAAAATTTCCTCTCTCTTTTAAGGTTCCTCTTCTGTTTATCAAAGTAAAATACACTTAATTGCAGCATATTTTATCTGATCTGAGTATTGACTTTCCTTGCTGAATGTATTTCCATATTTTAGTTATTTCCTATCTGTGCTACTAACTTAGTATTATAGCATATTTCTTACTGTACTACTGCCACCTCAAATGGCTGTTTTATTTCTAAATAAACTTTAAGTTGTCTTTATTCCTGGATTCTTTTTGTCTTTCCCCATTCCTCCAGTATGTATCACATGCTCATTGATTGCCTCATCCATAAACTTAGATCAGCGTCTTTCATCCCTAACGTCTGACTTACTAAAAATATATCTGTGTTGATCCTAGGGTTATACAATACAGTTTTCCACAACCTAATTCCTGTGGACATTATCAAATGTCTTAAGTTTTATTCTGTAATGATTCATCCTATGGATGCTCTCTGATACAGATTCTCACTGTTCTGCCCTACTGCCTAAATCATCTTTGCCTTTCATTGATATTTCTTTCTTCCTTCATTGTTTTTAAAAGAATCAACAGAAAATATAACATAGTAATTTTTTTTTTCTCTATTAACAATAACAGTAAACCACCAAAAGCTCATTGCTGCCAAATCAATTCAGATTTATAACAACCTCCCAGGACAGAGTGGAATTTCCCCACATGGTTTCCCAGGCTGTATCCTTGTGGAAGCAGACTGCCACCTCTTTCTCCAGCAGAGCAGCTGGTAGGTTCTTTGGCCTTAGCAGCCAAGCACTTAACCACTGCACCAGTAGGGCTCCTTAATAATGACCCAAAATCCACTGCCATCAAGTCGATTCCGACTCATTGTGGCCATATAGGACAGAGTGGAACTGCCCTATAGGGTTTCTAAGACTATAAATCTTTACTGAAGCAGACCACCTCATCTTTCTTCCACAGGGTGGCTAGTGGGTTCAAACCACCAACATTTTGGTTAGCAGCCCAATGCTTTAACCACAGCACCACAAAAGCTCCCTTTAAAATAACAGTAGCTACCATTTATAGGCACAGTAGTAGCTCAGTGGTAGAATTCTCACCGCCCATGTGCAGGACTTGCATTCAATTCCCAACCAATCCACCTCATGCACAGCCACCACCCATCTGTCAGTGGAGGCTTGGGTATTGCTATGGTGCAG